AATCCCTTTCCCATTGACTCCTGTTTTACGAATCCCAATGGAACCAACCCCTTTCCCATTGACTCTCATTGAATTCCAATGAACCTAATCCCTTCGCTTTGACTCCTATTGTACAGAATCCCAACTGGCAACAGGAACTTGAGACTTAGGAGCAGGATAAGCCATTCAACACTTTGAGCCTGCTCCAACATTCAGTACGTTCCTGACTGATCTGGATGTGGACTCAGCTTCAGTCTGCTACTCAAAACCTCTGACTCCCTTGTAAGAATTACCAGTGGACCCAACCTTCTATTTGTACAGGATCCCAACCCCTTCCAATTCATACCCGCTAGCTACAATCTCAGCGTGGCAACTTTGTTTCCCATTAACCCTCAAGTGTGTGCTGTTCCTAAGAGTGAAATCTCAACTTCCTTCTGTTTTATGTAATATTAGACATCAGAACTCATTCCCATACAATCCTGAATCTACCATCCCAACGGACCAAACAGAGGTCGTTTTTTCCCCACCCAGGAAAATTCCAACAAAACCAAACCTTTCCTACTCACCTCATGAAACGGAATGTGAGTTGTGTGGATAATGCAAAGAGGCTTCAAGAGAATTTGGACTGGCTGAGTGAGTGGACAAGAGCAAATGATTTGTCTGGGTAGCGTGGAAAACACTACTTTTCGCTGAATCTCGGTACATTTGGGCAGAACTGTGGCTCAGTGATTAGCACTGCTGCCTCATAGTGGGTTCAGTTCCACCCTCTGGCAACTGTCTGTGTGGAGTTTGCACATTCTCCCCGTGTCTGTGTGGGTTTCCTCCGGGTGCTCCGGTTTCCTCCCACAGTCCAAAGATGTGCAGGTTAGGGTGGATTGGCCATGCTAAATTGCCCATAGTGCCCAGGGATGTGCAGGCTAGGGGAGTTAGCCATAGTTAATGTGGTGTTAGGGTGGGATGCTCTTCAGAGGGTCGGTGCAGACATGATGGGCCAATTGGCCTCTTCCCGCACTGTAGGAGTTCTATGATTCTATGTGACGGTAATAAATCAAATCAAATCAAAAAAATGTATAGTTGATGAGTTTGAGGCTTTCCACTTTAGCAGGAGGAACGGAGGTGTGGAGTATTTCTTAAAATGGCGAGAGATTGGGAGGCATGAGCTCCAAAGGGGTGTGGGTGGCCTTGTTCATGAGTTATGAAAGCTGACTTGCATGTACAGCTTGCAGTCGGGAGGGCAAATGGTAGGTTGGTCTTTATTGCAAGGGTCTGAGGAATTCAAAAGTCTTGCTTCAATTGTACCAGGCCTTGGGTCCAGCTCCAGAAGTATTTCTGCAGTTTTGATCATCTTCCCTATGGAAGGATTAACCTTGTCGCTGAGGGACAGCAATTCAGGTTCACCAGACGCATGGCTGGGATGGAGGGAGAGATTGATAAGAACATTCTCTCGAATTTAGAAGAATGGGAGATGAACATAGTCTCAGTTTAAGGGGCTACCTATTTAGGATTGAAATAAGGAGACTTTTCATCACTGAGGGGCAAGAATGAATTGTTGGTATTTTCTCACCCTGGCTATGGAGGCTCAATTATTGAGTACATTCAAGACAGAGACTGATTGATTTGGTGTTATTAATGGTATTTAAGGTTTTGTTTTGAATACATACATGGGAAATGGGCATCCCTGGCTAGGCAGCATTTGTTGCCCATCCCTAATTGCCCAGAGGGCAGTTAGGCGTCAACCACATTGCTGTGGGTCTAGAGTCACATGTAGGCCAGACCAGGTAAGGATGGCAGTTTCCTTCCCTAAAGGGCACGAGTGAGCCAGATGGAATATTTTCAGTGACAATCAGCATTGGATTCATCATTAGACTTCTAATGCCAGAAACTTATTGAATTAAAATTCCACCATCTGCCATAGCAGGATTTGAACCCAGGTCCCCAAACATTACCAGGGTCTCTGGATTAACAGTCTAGTGATAATACCACAAGGCCACCTCCTCCCCTATGGGGATAGTGCAGGAAAATCGAGTTAGAGATGTTCGGCCATGATGTAGAATGGCAGAGCTCCTTTGGGAGGCCGAACAACCTACTCCTACATTCCACTGTAGTCAACCTGAAGGGACTAACTTTCTCCCAATTGGTTTCTGATGTGCGCAGTGAACCAGGATGAGTCAAAGCAAGAACATAAAGTTCAGAACATGGCCCTCTCACTCTCAGTGCTCCCTTTGGAAAATGAAACACTTTATGGATCATTTGCAAGGAGTGAATTGTGAAGTGATGATTAAGCAGCTGTCCTAGAGAGACCTGCAAATTGGTTCTGCCTCCCATGAGGCTTCATCTGGATGATTCAAGCTTGTGAGACATCCTTTAGAGACAGGGTTGTGTAAATTTCAGCCCAGCTCTGTTGTATTTCCTGCAGTTCTGATTTCTCTGTCTCTCTGTTTTTCTCTCTCTGCCTGCCTCTCTCTCTCTCGCTGACTCTCTCTCTGGGTATTTCTTTTTCCACAGAGGAATGCATTCCACTCCCTGCCGAAACCAGCAAGGCACAGCGACACCTTCCGTTTCCTGCTGCTGACCTTCATCGCTGTCGCTTGCATCGCAGGCATCCTCATTGCTGGAGCCATCATCATCTGCCTCAGACAGAATGCCAAGCAGCGACAGAAAGAGAAACTGGCTGGATTGGGCCCTGAAGGAGGGACTGACACCTCCCTCGAATATCAGGTACACAACTTCCTCCAATATCGAGTACACGTTCCGTTCGAGGTCAGATGTGTGTGCTCCTCCGATATCAGGTACATGCATCTCTCCAATATCGGCCCACATTCCCTCCAATATTGGGTACCTACAGCTCCCCATTGTCAGGTACCTGTCCTCCTCCATTATCATATACATGTACTCCTCCAGTGCTGCCTACACATGTCCCTCCAAACTTGTGCACACATGTCCCTCGATCTGGTGACGCATGCCTCTGAACAATATTACATACCTCCAAGCCTCCAGTATAGGATGAGCACACATCTCCAATGTTGGGAGGAACCAGTGTTGTGTTCTTTAATCACAGCTATATCAGTCTCACAGCAGAGATCCCACAATGACAGCTGCTTCCTGTCTGCGCTGCTTCATTTCCCCTCGCCCCATGTCAGACACACGCTTTAGAGCCAAGAGTTTTCCGCCAGGGATTCCTGCATCCATGGATATAACGGGATTGGGATTGGCAGCTGGTGGCGTGTGGGAAATCAGGGCCGGTACTGGAGCAGTGAGGAGAGAGATCACGGGGAGATTGTGGACCAGGAGGAAGGTAGTGGAGCTCAGTACAGGTGACACCACACTAAATGTCATCAGACCAAGACTTGACAACGTTGGGTCGGTGGAGGGGGGGAACAACTCCAGGGAACAAGAGAAAGAAGACGGAGCGAACTCACAAACGGAAGTAAAGGTAAAATACTGTGGATGCTGGAAATCTGAAGCGAACAGAGAGAAAGCTGGAGAAACAGCAGCGCCTGTGGAGAGAGAAACAGAGCTAACGTTTTGAGTCTGGGATGACTTTTCTTCCGAGTCCTTCCCTCTCCACAGATGCTGCCAGATGTGCTGAGCAATCTCTGCGTTTGCCTCTTACAAGCGTAAAACTGGAAATTTAAAAATTTACCAGGGATATGGGAGTGGAGTGGGGTCAGGGCAATGGAGGCTTCTAATTGGATAGCTCTTTCAAAGGGCTGGCAGAGGCATGGTGGGCCAAATGGCCTACTTGGATAGAGACCGCGATGTGGGGTCAGTAGCAAAGGGACGGGCGCAAACCATTCTCTCACAATCAAGCAGGCAGAAGGAACTTGTTGTTGTTTCTCTTGATAGGAGCTGTGCCGACAGCATATGGCAGCCTACTCCCGCACGGAGACCGTGGACACATCCCGGGTCAGCAGCGTCTCGTCCCAGTTCAGTGACGCTCCCCAGGCCAGCCCCAGCTCCCACAATAGCACCCCCTCCTGGTGTGAGGAACCTGTCCAATCCAACATGGACATCTCAACTGGACACATGATACTGGTAAGCAGCTCGGACAGAATTGGGCCGAGAGGAGAGCGGGCCTCTCAGGGCTCATTTTGGGGTTGGCTAGGTTGAAGCAGAAAATGAGATGGGCTAAGGAGAAAGGGAGTGGCGTGGATATTAATAGGGGCATAGAGTACAATAGACAGATTCCTGGGATGGCAGGACTGACCGTACGAAGAGA